TCATGTTGTTTATTGACTGAGTTAGTTTGTGACTTCATAGAGTTCTTAGTATGGCTCGCAAAGCCTATATAGCAGTGCTCACAAACACTTACCCCCTCTTGGAGCTAGTAACATGTGTGGAGCTGAGCTGAGTTGAACCAAGACTGAGCCAAGCTAAGGCTGTCAGGAGTCACCTGATGAGAAGCCTGAATCTAGCCAAGCTGAGCAGGGCTAGCTAGCAGGGCTTAGTAAGGCAGTGCAGCACTACAAGGCAGGGCAGTGCAGAGCTGGGCAGGGCTTGCTGATCAGGTACCCTCTTTCTCTTAAAGGGGCTGTAGACAGTAGTGGCTCATTGCCAAAAACCAAACACGCACACACACACATGCGTGTTACATTCAATGGCAACAGCAAATTTATAAATACATAATATGCATATAAGTGCAGTAAGTTGTTTACCCTGTGGCCTTCAAACATGGTAAGACAGGAGGTGAGGGAACCGGACTAAACCATCCTGACTCCATTTGCAATACACCTACCCAAGTGAGGACTTTGGAGTATTTCTTTATTGGACTGCAATCTGTCAATTACTAGTGTCAACTTTAAAAAATAAGGCTGAGGCAAAGCAAGTAAAGCAAAGTATTTTATTTGGGCCAGGGCTAGGATGATTGCCTGGTCATCACAAATCTGAGTTGCCCTAGATAGTACGTGCTGTTACAGATTCCAGGATGATTTTAAAGGTGTAAGGAGGAGGAGTGAGGAAACAGGAGTGAGGAATAGCAGGAGTCTTATACAGCAGTGACTGGGGATAAGGGCAACAGGAGGACCTTGTTACTGATGAAGGAAAATTGTGATATAGGAAGTGGGGTGCGGGGCCCAACACCCAATGCAGGAACAGCAGTGGACCCATTCTTTATCTTACACTCACAAAGAATTACAGATGGGGACACAGAGAAAGAATAGTAAAGTGGAGAGTTTGTGATGAGAGGGAAGACGGGAGCCAGCAGATGGCATAGTGGTTACAGCACTGGACTCCCACATGACTGTCCATACTTCGAGTCCCAGACCTGGTGGCTTGAAACTTACGCTGGGTGCATGTGTGTGCATGCCCCAAATCCCAAGAGGAGAATGGAGGAGAAGGGATTGTGGCATGGCCATTCCCCCTGGGGCATGATATCTCACTTTCTCTCTCTCTGTCTCTTCATGTCTCTGGTGAGCGCACGTGCCCAATAGCAAAAATCTCTCTATTAAAAAAAAAAAGAGAGGGAAGAAGGATCAAAGCTCTCAGGCAGGGAGTGGGTCTTGAAGAATGGGCTGCCAGTGAAAAGCTGAGGCAAAGGGTTTTTATCTGCATGGGGGGGCTTTGTTCGGGCTTCTTGCCTCTATGTAGGGCGTGTTCAGTCTCTGAGAAGCTGACCTTAGGTGAGAAGAAAGGAGCAGCTTGCAGAAAGACTGGCCATCATAATGAGAAGAAATGCCAGCTCTTAACAAGCTTAGTGCTGCTCAAATGAGTTTTCAGGGAGTGAGTTGCCTGCAGGGAGTGTGGCTGGGGAATGGGAGAATTGATCTGCATTGTATAAAATCCCAGGTTCTTTAGGTCCAGATCCCTAAAAGACCTGTCCTGAGATGCAGAATGAAAAACCGCAAACACCTGTAAAGTAGGTAGAGGTGTTTTAATTGAAAGTACAGATTTCTAATAGGAAGGAAATACACCCCCATGCTTAAAAGGCATGTGGGTGGACAGCTGCCAGAGAAGGAAGACTACATTGGGCCTGAGGTTAGGTGTTACTTTTATCCTGAGGTTAGTTGTGAATATGTCACAGGGGAAGGTCTGTCATGGTATCAGGCCTCTTTGGTTTTATGGGCTTTCTCCTGCACTTGCACTTTTCTCTCAGGTGAGGAATTTAGCTATATAATCACATGTGCCCAGGGTGGTCTTTGAAGAAATGAGCATCCATATCTGAGAGCACTGCCCAGTTAGTTTATTGGGAATCAGGATGTCCCAGCCCAGGTAGTTAATTGTTGTGTGTGTATCTGGGATAGCAGAACGATGACAACCTTGCTGGCACCAAAAGCCATGTGGGAAGGGTGAGAGGAAGGACTCTACAAAGAGGGTCTGGTTGCATTTTCTGATAGGCTGTGATCGATCAAGCAAGCTATAAAACAGCTCTGGTTGTAATAAGCTCTCTGTGTGAGCCAGAGTTAATACTTGATTTCTAGTGAGGTCAGTGGACAACCGTTTTCAAAGGCTTGACCAGAGTGACTCCATTATGTAAGTTGGCTCTATCTTAATATATGTGTGTGTCCATTTCCTATCATAGTGACCCTTCTCTAGAGGTCCTGGTCCTATTTACCTACTCACTGAATCTAATTCCTGTCTCAATACCAAATCTAACTTGGTACAAAACAGAAATTAGTCACTCACTACCAGAAAGTCCAATCCACAGAGATTGCTCTGTGCCATGAGGTTTGTCAAAGAGGAAGGCTTTATTACAGATGACATCAACCTAGGGATAACTAGATTTGCCCAAAAGACTTGTCTTCTAGATTTCAGGGATGAGTTTTCTTTTTTTAGAGTTTTTTGCCATAGGGCATGTGTACTCACTAAAGAGTGAGAGAGACAGAGATAGTAAAAAGGAAAGTGAGAACTCATCCCCAGATGGGGAGGGTGGAAAATGGCCACGCCACAATCCCTTCTCCTAGGATCTTGAGCAGGCACATACATGTGCCTAGCATGAGTTTCAAACCACCAAGTCCAGGACTTGTACCAGTCAGCCATGTGGGAGTCCAGCAACGTAACCACTGCACCATCTGCCGTCCCCCTGAATGAGCTTTTATAGAGGCATAACTCCCTTCAAGTTTTCAACCATGTTTATGTATGCAAATGAAGGATTGAAATTTGTACTGTTCTGATTGGTTGTTCCCTTGTAACCAGCATCTACTTCCCTGCTGTGGTGGTCAACTTTGGCCACTTAACCTTTTCAGCACCAGCATCCTTAAAGGAAACTTAAAAAAAATCAGCAGTTAGTACTAGGTTGTTCTTATTTGAGCTAGTTCTAACTAGTTACAACCTCTTGGTCATGCGGAGTCACTTTTCTTAATCGTAAGCCAAATGTGGAGACAATGAGTCTAGGAGGTTCAAGGAGGAATGTATTTGGACAAGAAGAATGTTAATAAAATAAATGTCCAATCAGCTTAGGTAGTATCTTGAGCTATTTCAGGTGATCATTCTTAAGAAGTCACAAGATGTGCATAATATTTATTTCCTAATAGCACTGACTTAGGTAGAGTGAAGTCTTGTATTTTCAGGGGGGGAAAATGATCTAGTTTGGGGTCTGTCAGCTTCCTTAAAGTTTCAATTTGATGATTTGATATCTTAGCATGAGTTACTCCATTTTGGTCTGGTCTATTGGAGCTTAGAACAAGAGCTCAATCAAAACAATGGTCTCCTGAAGGTTTTAATTAACACTGGTTATGAACTGCCTGCTTGGGATGAAGCCGTATTGGCGGACCAGACACTGAACAAGGACAAATGACCAGCACCAAGCAATGCAGGACTCTAGTAGGAGCAGGTGTGGATGCTGACACAAATTAATGGGTGGATTTCACAGAAGTTGAATCATAAAATCAATATCTAATCAAAATCTTGCCCTAGAATAGTTTAATAGTGCTAGTGTTTTTCACACAACATGGGAAGTGTTCCTTGGATTGACCCCATATATTCACATGAACCTCTGAGAGTGTGGGAGCCTATGAAGTTGTCCCGACTCCTTATTATTTTCCCGCCTTGAATCACAAATTCATAAATCCTGGGCTGTGAAAATGCTGCACACTATCTTGTATTTTTCTCTACCCAGTAATTGGCCTTTCTGTTTGACTAACCAAAAGACAGGAATCATGTTTTACAAGATAACTCAATCCATCTTCAGAGAATACTGATTGTGGTTTTCATTTTTTGTATCAAAAATCTTTCTTAGTTTGTAATTTAACAGTTCTAGTCCCATTTTCTTCAGCCACTTAAAACCCATCGGACCCAAGTCTTGTCTAAATCATCTCATGTGTTCTCCCTTTCCATGAATCCATATGACTTAACTATTTCATGTAACAGAAATTATCACGATTATTAACATTTCCAAACCCTGGTTTATCTGTACGATGTAGTCTTTTTCCTACAGTAGGACGCTGCTTTGACTCTTTTCTCCTGGGGGCAGCTCCTCTCTGTTGGCTGTTCAGTCAGAAGCTCACCCTTGCCTGCTTTCCCCCCTCACTCCCACCCCACCACCACCCCAAGGCCTGGTCCACAGCGTAGTGTGTTGGTGACAAGGACCAGGAGGATCTTTCCCTGGGTCTTTCGACACCAGATAGCCACGTCTAGGCCATGTTGGTCATAAGGCCTTGCTTTCTGGCAGGGGTTAATGATACACCTTCACAAATGAGAAGTCAAGGAAATACTTGTATTGGTTGAGTTCTAAACACTAGAGCACTTATTTGTTTCCCTGTGAATTTTGTAATGCATCAAACGGACACTTTTCTGATATCCTTGAAAGTTTAATTAATATTTACTACGCTGAATGGCATCTTTGAAAGGAACTGTATTGAAAGGTGAAATTAACTCTGAGATTTGTATTCCAGTTTGGTTGCTTCAGTGTCACATGGCGCTCCTTGTCCTGTACTGATCAAAAAAATCGGTGTTCTGGTTAGGTTGGAGTTTCAAAAAGGGGAGAAAAAAACCTTTAGGCAAAGCTTAAAAAAAAAAAAAAAAGCTGTGGAGAGATTATTCTCTGCATGTCTAGGAATTATTGAAATTTTTATGTTGCAAAGGCATTTGGTTTAGAACAAAAAAATGCGATTTGCATTTTATTAACACTCTACCAAGGCCCCAGAGGAAATTGAAATATAACAATCTAGAAGAGAGCAAACATTTCCTTACTTTATTAAATAAGCGAGCAGATAAAAGCTGAGTCATCCTAAGGTGCTCCACTAGGCGTAATGTCAGGTCAGTAAAGCCAGAATCTTCCCTCCAGACCCTAGAAAGAAACTGGAAGTTAATCCGCGATGAAGGCCTTGCCGTGATGGATAAAGCCAAAGGTCTCTTCCTGCCTGAAGATGAGAACCTGAGGGAGAAGGGCGACTGGAGCCAGTTCACGCTGTGGCAGCACTGTGAGCCTCTGACTTCTTCCTTGTCCTGCAGCCAGTGACCTGGTGACAGTGGGCACTGACCGAGCCTGCGGGTGAGACTTTCCAGAGCTAAAATTCCCAAACGTAACAGGGAAAACCCAAAAACCTAGCTGCTTGAAATTCATTGTTATTTGCTTTTTGTTCTCATATCAAAACCACATCTGGGCACTTATTTGCATATGTGTGTGTGTGTGTATATATATATGTATGTATGTATATATATATATATGTGTATGTATATATATATACATGTCTGTGTATTTTCATATATGTTATATATATGTATGTATATATATATATATGTCTGTGTACTTTCATATATATATTTGGATGCATATTTGTAAGTAGTATTTTGATTCTTTTAATCATTCCTGTTGTGCAGTGTGTTGCTGATATTCACCCTAATGTAGGCATAGCTGAAGAGGCCACTAGGTGTTACCGGGTCCTAGCAAGGAGCATTCCTGAGCCTCACATGCTTCTGTAAAATGGAGGAGAATGCATGCCAGAATAATATTACCGTGGGTGAGAGTTGTTCAAAATGGCAACACACCAACATGACCAGAAAACAATAACTACTTATAAACTCATCAGAACCAGGGAGTGGTTCAGATTGCATTCTGTTCCTTGAACTTAACCAGTTCAAGGCACTAAGATGAGGCTTTTATATGAGTGTGTTCCATGAGTTAGTGTTAGTCTACTTTTAAAATGGGGAGCATTGGGACCAGCAGTTAGCATAATGGCTACATCACTGGACTCCCATGTAGTCGACCACGATTCGAGTACTGGACCCGGTGGCTTAAGTTCACACTGGACACGTGTGCGTGTGTGCCCAAGATCCCAAGAGGAGAATGGAGAAGGGATTGTGGCGTGGCCATCCCTTTCTCGCTTCCTGTCTCTCTGTCTCTGTCTTTCTGGCGAGTGCACGTGCCCTATAGCAAAAACCTCTCCAAAAAAAAAAAAAAACAGGGAGCATTGAATTTTCTTGTTCTAAGTCTTTCCAGTTCTCCAGTTGAAAAGTCAGGTTTGTCTGGTTTAGATATAGTTGTACAAAAGTAAATCCATGCCCAGCCCTGGCACAGTGGTAGTGCAATGCTTCACGATGCAGGAAACCATACAGAAGACTGGGGTTGAGTTCCCTGTTCAACCTGTACATGCTATAAGCACATGTGCACTCCCATTCCTGGCTGGCTGGGAAGGAGGTAGGGGGGATTGCAGTGTGCAACTCTGTGAGTGCTTCTCTTTCTCTCTCTCTCTTCTCTCACTATACAACTTTAGCTAAAAAATATAAATAAATTGAGTATGATAAGTATAAATAAATTGAGTATGATAAAGGACAAATGAAAACAGTGGTTTATTTCAACCTTGCTTTCAGAATGATTTCTATGTAAGAAGAACTATTTCAGTAATATTTTCAAGGATATGTTCATCAGAAGAGAGGTCACATGATTTCAAGTGACTGTCAGCTCTTTGCCAACAAGATTATCTTAATGGAGCCGCATGGTTCATGTGTGGGCAACATAACAATTTGTCTTTGGCGGGTCACTAAGATGAGTCAGTTCCTTGGCCTTTATGTGTTCATTGTGTCCTTTGGTTCTGGTAGCATCCTTACGCTTCATAAAAATCTACTGGGCTTCCTAAGAGCAGTGCTGTAGAATAGCACACATCCGAGCTGTAATTTCTAGAAACTATAGTCTCTGCTTTAAAAAAAAGAAAAATGTGCTTTGATAAAAGTTGAAATAATGTAGTCTTACAGGGCACATGGTAGTGTTAAACAGGAAAGAAAAGGAAGGTCGTTAAGGTACAGTGAGGTCTGTAGTGTGGCTTTGAGCCCATCGAACCGGTGCCCTGATTAGAAGAGACATCAGGGGACGTATTCGTTTCCTGTATAGTAAATCAACATAACTTAGTAGCTTAAAAAACACATGCATTTATTATACAGTTTTGGTGGTCAGAAATCAGTGGTCTCACTGAGCTAAAATCACCTTTGTCACCCTGGCTCCAGCTTTGAGAAGCCGCCCATATTCCTTGACTTGTGGCCCCCTGCTCTCTTCAAAGCCTGCAATAGTGACCAAATCTTTCTTGTTTCATATTATTCTGATACTCCTCTGCCTCACAGATTCCATTGGGCATGTTTCATATTATTCTGATACTCCTCTGCCTCCAGGACTCTGTGATTCCATTGGGCCCATCCAATTCATTCAGGATAACCTCCTTATTTTAAGGTCACATGATTAAAAAAGCACATGCTTTCCCCCTGCATAAAAAGTAACTTAGTCATAAATTCCTGGGATTAAGATGTGATCATCTTTGGGTGAAGGCCATTCTTCTTCCCACCACAGGGGGAAAAGTATTCCACAGGTGCCTTGCCATGAGACATCCTTAGTTGAATAGTCCAACACCGAATGGAGGATGCGGGCCCTTGTTCTGCCAGCTGTTATCTGTTATCTGTTATCCACACTACAGACCTCACTGTACCTTAACGACCTTCCTTTTCTTTCCTGTTTAACACTACCATGTGCCCTGTAAGACCGGTGCCCTGATTAGAAGAGACATCAGGGGACGTATTCGTTTCCTGTATAGTAAATCAACATAACTTAGTAGCTTAAAAAACACATGCATTTATTATACAGTTTTGGTGGTCAGAAATCAGTGGTCTCACTGAGCTAAAATCACCTTTGTCACCCTGGCTCCAGCTTTGAGAAGCCGCCCATATTCCTTGACTTGTGGCCCCCTGCTCTCTTCAAAGCCTGCAATAGTGACCAAATCTTTCTTGTTTCATATTATTCTGATACTCCTCTGCCTCCAGGACTCTGTGATTCCATTGGGCCCATCCAATTCATTCAGGATAACCTCCTTATTTTAAGGTCACATGATTAAAAAAGCACATGCTTTCCCCCTGCATAAAAAGTAACTTAGTCATAAATTCCTGGGATTAAGATGTGATCATCTTTGGGTGAAGGCCATTCTTCTTCCCACCACAGGGGGAAAAGTATTCCACAGGTGCCTTGCCATGAGACATCCTTAGTTGAATAGTCCAACACCGAATGGAGGATGCGGGCCCTTGTTCTGCCAGCTGTTATCTGTTATCTGTTATCCACACTACAGACCTCACTGTACCTTAACGACCTTCCTTTTCTTTCCTGTTTAACACTACCATGTGCCCTGTAAGACTACATTATTTCAACTTTTATCAAAGCACATTTTTCTTTTTTTTAAAGCAGAGACTATAGTTTCTGCCAGCTGGAGCAAGACACTCAGTCTTCCCGGGTTTGCTCAACCCTCTCATTCCTCCAGCAAGAATGACTATATAGATCATGTGGTCCAAAGAGGATGGGTTAAAGCTTTACTGTAATTTGTTTATAATAATAATCTTACCTTTTTTTTTCTAGGAAGAAGAAATGAAAATGCCTGTAAAGGAGCTCCAAAAACCTGTAATTTACTAGAAAAGTTTTCCGAGACCACAGGATGCAGAAGAGGACAGGTACCAAAGGTGTCCTTAGTGCTGGGGAGAGAATAAGCAGTTGTTAGGAAGAGAGGAGTGAAAACCTTTACCAGGAAATGGTTCTTCCTCTGTCTGATGCATGCCCTTTTTTCACTCCCTTTCTTAATGAACATAATCCTTTGTGGTTGACATCAAATTGAGGGGAGAAGATGTTTCCACTTTGTAGAAAATAGGAGTGCTTATTTTTAGTTCCTTGACAAATAAGATGTGAGTATAAATTCCGGGTCTTACAAAGGCTTTAATTCAAATTGACAGTAATTTTGTGCTGTCAATTCAATTTTGCAATTCCTCCACATCTTCGTAAGTGACTGAGCTGAGGGTTATATTTTCTGCACAGATCAAATACTCCGTCATGCACCCTGGAACTCATGTGTGGCCACACACCGGGCCCACGAACTGCAGGCTCCGAATGCACCTGGGCTTGGTGATTCCCAAGGAAGGCTGTAAGATCCGATGCGCCAACGAGACCAAGTATGTTCCCTCTGTCACCTTCCCTCTTATCCATCACCTCTGTGATAAGTGTTCGTTACAACAAAGCTACGTTCAGCTGAATCACCTCTCTTCCTCTGTAGCCAAAGTAGACTGGAGTGGAGTGATGTTAACCCACACTCTTCCACCTTTACACTTTCTTTGTGCTTCTGTCAGACTGGAGATTTCGCCCAGCTCCAGGGCTGCCTTCCTTGATCATTGCCCCTCCTCCCCCCAGAGCACTGCCACCTGGTGGAGGAGCCTTCTTGCTTCTCTGCTTGGGTGCATGGACCTGCATTCTAAGTAAGCTAGCACAGGTAGAGCCCTGCATAAATTACAAAATGTACATTTGCGGGGAAACATGAGTTACTCAGAACCATAAGAAGTCCCCTTCCTGAAGAAAATACTCTAGGGAATTTATATAATTTTGTTGTGGAGGAGACAGGATGGTGTGGTGGAAGCTTCTGCCTTTTTCAAATCCAGCTCTGTCACTAATCCTGTGTAACCTTGACCAGTTACTTAATCCTTGCAGCCCTCAGCCTCCTGGCTTTTAAAATTGCCAGTGGTAATATAACCATGCAGGGATGTTGTGTGGATTAAATGGAATAATGCCTGCAAGGCACATGGTCCTTGTTCTGGCATCAGCAGGGAAGGAGAATGTTAAGTCTCCTTCTCCCCTCTGTGCTCCACCTTTTTCTCTCCTGCTTGCAGGTTTATTCCCAGTGTTGTGAACAGTTCACACTTGCTCCGACTTCGGTGTTTATAATCCCAGTACTCCCTTCTGGAATGCCCCACCTTCCACCTATCCAGAGTAAACCTATTCCTAGGATCCAACTTAGTTTCTGAAAAGTGAAAGCTGTCTTCTGATGGCTTGGAATATGTAAGATGTATATCTTCAGTAATCCTGTTCTCTATCTTCTTTCTTTTTTTTTTGTCATTAATGTGTATTAGCCTACTCTCCACAATGAGCTATCAGCTCCTAGAGAAAAGAGACTAAGCTGTCATCTTCTTATCTCTTTCTCATTGTCCTTAGCAGAGGTCTAGGTGGATGGCAAGGGATCAGGGCTCCACAGAGTTGTTCCTTTGGTTCCTGGCCAACACCTGCCCTGGGCACAGACAGCAGCATTCAGAGATGACTCAGATGAGCCTTCCTCTGCCAGACGTGTCTAATTGGGAAGATAACTTAATGCCATATGAGTCATAGAGAGACACAGATAAAAATGCTACAGATGGGGCAGTGGGCAGGGGTTTCAAGTGCAGTTGAAGTGTAGGAATCTTGACAGTGATAGGATTTGGGTTTTGGGTCTTTTTCTTAGTTTGCTATGGGGCACATGACTTGTTGGAGAGAGACAGAGAAAGAGGAAAATGAAAAATGACTTTCCAGGGGATGGCCACACTGCAGTCTGTTCTCCTCCATTCTCCTCTTAGGATTTTGGGCACACACACATATTTCCCGTCATGTTTTTCAAGCCACCGGGTCCTGGATTCAGACCACAAAGTTGACCATCTGGGGTCCAGCCGCCTTAACCACCACACCACCTGCTACCCCCTAGGGATGATTTTTTAAAGACAAAGATTTGAATAGTCAAAGCTGTAGAAGGGCATTGTGGAACAGCACCTGGAAAGACACAGGGGCCAAAATTTATGTATCACATATCAAGACTGCTGAATGGTTCGGCAACCACAAGTGTAGGGTACATATAGCGTAAGGCTGGAAAATGGGAGCTTTAGAAGCCAAATCATAGAAGGATATCAAATGAATGGGACCAGACCCTGTTAGGAAGTTACTGTGGAAGCCATGGGTGAATCTGGTGGGAACAGTTAGCAAGCTGTCACAGCAACCCAGAAAAGACCAGGAGAGCCTAAATGGGGGCGCTGGAAAGAAATACAGAGTAGAGAGCAGATGCAGGAGGCACTGCGGGGAGTCACACAGTTGAATCTGGAGAGTGTGGTGCCAGGGACAAGGGAAGCCAAGAGGATACTGCAGTTTGAGTTTGGGATCAGTAGGAGGCAATAATGCTTTAGCAAACATTGAGAACTTGGCCAGTGGGAGGCAAGTTTAGGGAAAGGAACATGAGGTTAGTGCTCTACATACAGTCAGCCCTCCATGTCTGCAGATTCTGCCTCTGCCAATTGAACCAGCTATGGATAGAAAATATTAACTGAGAAAAATAGTACAATAATGCTACAATAAAAAATAATACAACATTGAAAATAAAATCTAGTAATTATTTACTCAACATTTACATTGTGTTAGGAATTATAAGTAATGTAGAGATGATTTAAAGTGTACAGATCCCAGCCACAGGAGGGCACACTGGGTGATGCTGCTACTCTGCAAGCTGAGGCCCCATGGGAACCTGGATTCAAACCTCGGCCACCTGAAAAGCCAGGTGCAATGGTGTGCTCTAGTCCCAGCTATTCAGGAGGCCGAGACAGCAGGATCACCACAGCACTATCTAAGAAATTAAGAGTTACATGGGAGAATGCATGTAGGTTATATGCAAATAACTATACGGGATTGAGCATCCACAGATTCTAAAATGCAAGGCAGGAGGTGGGGGCATCCTGGAACCACCCCCTCTCACAGATGCCAAGGGCTGACTGTATTTGATTTAAGTCGCTATTGGAACATAGTATTGGGTCGTCAGGAAAGTCATTAACACATTTTTCTATGCAAAAATGCATCACGAGACAGAATGACTTTCATGATACATTTTTGTATAGAAAAAAGTGTTATGTCTTTCCCAACGACCTAATAAACATATCCAGGAGTTGGCTGGAAACAGAAGTCTGGAAGAGAGAGTTCAAGTCTAGAGTCAGGCTTAGCAGGAGGTTGCAGAGGGAGCTTGAGGGATAATGAGTAGTGACAGAAGTGAGAAAAAAAATATATCCATGAAACATCTACATTTAGAAGGCAGGAGAAAGGAGAATGGAGAAGAAGATTGGAAAGGGCAGAGGTGGGAAGACCAGGAGGAGGACTTGGAGACAGATGGGCAGATAGAAGTTTCTTCAAAGATAAAATGAATCTAGTCAAACCTTTGGGAATGCAGTCTGAGTTACGAGGGTCTCTCTATCAAAGGTAAGAGAAACAAGGGCATGGTGGGGCCCCAGGGGACACAGAAGGGGGTGGGAGAATACCAGGGGAGGCGGAAGTGGTCAAGGCCAGCTCCTAGAGACAGTAAGAGCACAAGGCAGGGGGAGATGGCGTAGATGGCCAGGCCTCATTCCTGAGTGCTGCTTAGGGGTTAGTATCTGTGTGTGTTTTCACTTCTTTGCCCTTTTCTATCACCTCCCTGGTGTGCATGTGTTCATCTGTCCTTTCTTCCTCCCATCTCCCCTCCCTCTCTCCCTTCCTCTTCCCATCCTTTTGCCTTTTCTCTTTCTGTCTTATTTATTCAGCTTCCAGATGCTTAGAGCAAAACACTACATAAAGGCACAGATGGGGAGAGGGAAAAGTGAGGCACTGATCCTAGTCTTCAGTGGCCTAAGGGCAAAGGTAGGAAGAATGGGTGTGGCCTCAGGAAGAGGAGCTGGTGGACAGTGCCAGGGCCATCGATAAGTCACAGAGGGCTGAGGATGCAGAGGAGACGATGGGAGACTCTCCTAGTAGCACATCTAGGGGTTTATTCCCCACGGATTGAAGAAGACAACCCCGACTCCAGCTCTGATATTTCAAGGACAGTCATAGTAGTCATTGTCACCTGCAGAGGTGAGGAAAGGGTGGCAGCTTGGTTCCACAGCTCACTCGGAGGGCATCTTAGTAAGAACGTAAACTTGGCAACCACTTGGTTTCCACTGAGCTAAAATACAACCCACTTTGTGTGACAGTAAGGAACTGCTCATAACAGTAATTTGTAGATGGCCTATTTTGCAAATTCACAGTGATTATTAAAAAGTCCTTGCCACCCACCTGCCTATCATGGGCCAGGGAGGGCATTCTGCAAAGGACAAAATGCTTTGCGCTCTCTGTCCCTAAAGAGCCAGTGAGCAGCAGCACTCCCGCCCCAGTCAGGGTTGCTGGTTCACAGTGCTTCTCCCTGTCCCTCCTCTTGTACTGGCTTGATGTGTCCTGTTACATTCTCATCCGCAGTAATCCTTAATCAGGTTGAGCAGGCTTTGTACTTCATTGCAAAAATAGTGCTTTTCATAAGAAAAATGGGTCAATTAAATTAAAACTGTGCAGTGATTACAGTGAAAATAGCTAGATATCTGAATAATAGACAGTTTATCAACTTGTAATTTGAATGTGGGAATTTCACACTGCAATCGTAGAAGTCCTATTAGCATGGAAAGCACAACTTATCTACCAAGAAATCAGGCTTCCTTGTGCTAGGCAACAGAAAGCAATTTTTTAAAGAATTATTTATTTATTTAATTCCATTTGTTGTTATTATTTTTCAGGTTGACCAGACAGAGACAGAGAAAGAAGGGGAAAGAGAGAAAGTAAGCCACCAGGTCCAGGACTTGAACTGTGGTCAACCATGTAGGAATCCAGTACCCTTAACCACCATACCATCTGCCGGCCCCCAGAAGGCAATTTTTCAGAGCATCTCAAACTTCCAGAAGAGTAGGTTACCCATAGCAATCTGTGCATTACAGTTCTCGGGTATGAATGATCAGATTGCCATTTCTCCAGAGTGCTGAGGATCCTGCCGCCGTGCATGGTGTGTAAACACTCCATTGCTGCAAAACACGATGCAGCTCTCTTTATTTGATAATGAGCTTGCAGGTATGCAGCCTGTATCACTCTAAATAAAATGGTCATTTCAAATTAATAACTGCCTTCTGATTACAAAACTGATTCATGTCTCTGACTGTAAGCACAGGGAAGCACAATAAGACACTATTATTTTTGATCCCAACAGATATTGCCCATATGTGTCTCAGTGCCTACACATGTATATTCATCATGGCAGTGATGGTGACAGTAGTAATATATACGGTGCCAACAGTATGACCATGCTAAGCACAGTCTAAGCACTCTACATGTATTACCTCAT